CGTGCAGCGTGGTCAGTCCCCTAACACGTCCTCTTCTCCAGGTCGCCCCCCTCAATCAGTCCCTCTTAATCAGGTTGGGCCAGGACAGGGATCACTTAGCCTGGTGGCTCTCCCACCCTGTCACAACCCCTCCCAGGACGGGCCAATCTCCACCTCCAGGCGTAGATTACCTGTCTTCGCATCTTATCCGTGCCAGCTCGGATCAGACCTCTCTTCAGACATATTTAGGCCCCGCCCTCCAGCCTAAACAAACCCTGCCTTCACTTCAAGCCCCGCCCCCTGGGTCTCCTGTCCTACCTGGAGCTGAAAGAGACTTCTCAGCCTCTGATCTTTCCCCCTTGCCCCTGACCCCTACAGGGCATTGCAGTCGAATCCAGAGGGTGGTCTTTCAAGTAGTGAGGGTCACAGGCTGAAAAATATGGTAAGACTCCTGCTGGAGCCCTGGGGAAGATCTGGGCTGGAAAGGAGCCAGGGCTGGAGATCAATCCTTCTCTGGCTACAAACCCACCTCCACTGCCTCCCCAGGAGCGCCGCCTGACTGACATGGAGCATACTCAGGCCCAGCTGAGGGATGCTGTTCAGAACCTACAATTTCTTCCAAAGATACCAGAGTCACGGAGTCAGCCCCTGCCTCTCAAAGCACCTTGCGTCAATGGAGATACCACCTGAGCTGCCCATTCTCTATCCCATGTGGTCTGGGAGCAGAGAGCCGACTTAGGAGGGTATCTGACCCTGCCTTTGGCCCTATGTGACCTACAGTGAGGAGTGGCACTGTAGGTGCCAACCAACCACTCTGGCACTATGAGGTTGCCCAGTAAAATCTTGATTTCAGTAAAATCAGTGGTTTGTTTGTCCCTAAGGTTTGCTAATCACGGAGTAGCCCCTCACCCCCATTCAATTCTCCCAAATTCTTTCCGAATTTGAGGTCTCCTGGAAGGGAAATGTAAGCAGATTCTCACCAGCTATGTGACCTTAGGCCATCACTCTAGAAGCCTTTATTTCATTATCTATAAAATGGATCTGAAATTTTCCTACACTGTGGCAGACCCCTAAAAGTATTCAAAAAAAGGTATTCATCATTGGTACAGGCAGTACCTGTTTCTCAAGGGAGCATGGGTCCTACAAACTCATTTATCCCATACCATCCTCACCTAATCCTCAGGCTCCAGATAAGAGAATTTTCCTAAACCCCAAATCCCAAACCAGCTCCCTCATGGCATGGATAGCGTAGTCTGAGAGGCAGATGAAGGAAGGGTAAGAAAATGTGAAGTTCTGTGGGTGAATGGTGAGTAAATTAGTAGGCCTTTAAATCATGGGTAAGGGGTAGAGTGGAACATTAGGCAGGTGAATAGGTTACTATTTGTTGGATGTTTGACCTATAGATGACTAGTTAGGTAGGCAGGTAACCAGGATGGATATGTCTACTTAGAAAAGACCTGGCTCATAGTAGGAAATAAATATTTGAATTAATTAAGTGATTATATATATTGTGTGTACATTTGTTAAGATCTTCTGAAACTGAGCTGGGCTGTGGGGAAACAATGAACACAGGACCCTTGTCCTCATGTGGAGAAGATAAACAAACATGAAAATGATGAATGAATGGGTGGCAGAGTGGAAGGATGTGAATTAGGATGATTGGGTGCTTACTTGGTTTTCCAGATAAATAGATATTTTCTTAAGTGGTGGAGGGACGGGCATGTAGATGGGTTGTGAATAGATGAGTGTGTGTTTGGATAGATGAATAGGTGGTTGGAGGGGTGGATAGTAGGTGATTAGTTGATTGGATGGGTAGAGGAGTGGATGACTGATTAGGCATGTGGATGAAAGGATGGGAAGGTAGATGAACGGTAGATGGGAGAAGATAGCAGTCTTGTAATAGGCTAGTCCTGGAGGGACAGCGAATTAGGGGGCCTTAGCAATGGGGATCTAAGGCAGCTCTAGGGGCATGGAGATGCTTAAGTCCAGTGTGAACGATGGAGAAGGATGGAGTGAGTTTGTGGTTGGAAGACAGCTGAAGTGGACAAGGGACTGGAACTAAGGATTGGGTGGAGTTCTCAATGACCTATGAATGACCCATGGAGGAACTTCTCTGCCCGCTTCCCACTCCTCTGGTGCTATTAGCAAACCTAGCTTTGGAAGAACCAGCGGGGTGATGGGAGCCATTGAGGGGGGGGGCGAGGACAAGAGGGTTGTCATGGCAACAGAGCCTCTCCCTGGACACTCAGGTCGCTCGGGCCCTTTAAGGGTGACCGGCTTGGACACTCCCAACATGGCTGCTCGCCC